GTGAGATGAGCTTTTGTGATCTTTTTGGTCAGCAGTGGTTTTCTTGGACTCTCCCACAGTCTTTTTTTTTTTTTTTTAACAGTTGAATCATGACCTCTGACCTTAACTGAGGCAGTCGGGCATTCACATCAAACGTGGATCATCAATAATAACATCTCCGTGCTGGATCAGTCAGGGTTAAAGAGACCTGGTGTTGGTCACCAGTGGAAACTGTGCAGAGGAGGATGCAATCTGACATACTGGGGGTTTTCCCGGTGGGTCGACCCACTTTGGAGTGATGGGCCGGTCTGGAGGGCCTACACTCAGTGAAAGTGTAGCTTTTAATTATTGTTCAACATGCTGCAGTACAACAAAGACATAACCCAAAAACTGTGCCAACCTGATTATCTTTCATCTCTGATGCTGAGCATCCAATGAGATGATGGCAGAGGATCCACAGTGGTGACACTAAGGGGTGCAGTGGGAACACAGTATGCACTCTGTGTCATGATTCTTCCCTCAGGTGTGTCCTACCACTAGATTACACGAAAAACTCGGAAGTCCATCCATTCGTTTCCTTCCTTGTCTAATTCAGCGTTGCTGGCGCCCATCCCAGCTGTTACAGGGTCAGCACTGTCAGGACTCGTATTTGACCTCATATATGGTGATAGCTCTGAAGAAGAAACGGGGTTAGACAGCAAAATTAGCAATCTGGTGGTTTGCAGGATGCCTGACTCGGCTCAGTCGACGTTATAAAGGATTATATCGACGCTGTACAGTAGATGATGTAGAGATTTCACCAAGAATAAGAACAAAAAGAGAAGCAGCACCTCAGCCATGATGAGTAATTTGTTGTCTATACGATCATAAAGTTCCCTTTTTAAACATGCTGCACTGATGCAACATGTTCAGCCTGTCACTACATCCTGTAAAAACTGGAACCTGAGACGGTTCAGACATTTTAAACAAAAACTCTAAAGTACACAGTGTGGATTGTTTTAGACTGAGCTTGCTGCTAGTCAGGCACGAGCAAACGTTTGTTTGTACTGCTCTAAATACTCAGGCGTACTTACTACTACTAAATCATTTAACCAGTTTAGAAAAACATGACAAGTTTAATTCGTTTATTTATTCTGGTTATTTCTTTTACAAAAAAGGTTGTAATGTACGAACATGCATGTCGAAGCTCTGTGCAGATACAGACTTGAGAGTTTAAATAAAATGTACTTCCTGTAAGATAAGATAAGATAAGATAACCTTTATTAGTCCCACACGTGGGAAATTTGTTTTGTCACAGCAGGAAGTGGACAGTGCAAAAGTTATGAGGCAAAAATTAGGATACAATAAGAATAAATACAGTACACAGCTGTACAGAATAGAATAAAATACTATATACAGTAGAATAAAATAAAATAAATATA